GAGTTTAACTGAGCAATCCTGGAGACCTGCACATTGGGGACACCAAACCAGTTTGAACAGTGGTTTACCTAAGTTAATAGTGCTGTATCTTTGGCATCAAACTAAGTTAACTCAGATGAATCTGAAGATCCTACTACCGCTAGAGTTGGGCACAGAGACACTTCAACTAGTTTTTTGCCGAATCATGCTGCTGTACCTTTGACACCAATGGAACGAGGGACCTTAGTGCCATTTGTTGGGAATGAAGGCATATTTACGCCTGACAGAAGCCTGCTGTGGATTTTAAGAGTCTGTTCTGATAACATTTAACAGCATAAAAATAAATAGAACTGTGTTCATGTAAGAAATTGACGAGTAATCATGTTTAGTGTTATGCATGTATAAGAAACTGCAGAGCAATCCTGTCTGTGAGAACAAGAAAAGATAAAGTACTAAAAAGCTAGAAGACTGATTTGAACGAACAATAAGCCTGCTGGGGGAGGGGAGTTAATATGGAAATGAGAGACTAATAATGCATCTGTATAAGAAAAGACGACAAAAAGTTATAAATAAGTTTGTGTAATAAAGGAAGATTGAAGCTGTCCAGTGCTGGAGGTGACTGTGCTGAGATCGCCCAGATCAACTTCCCTATTGTGAGTAACTGATAACTACTCGCTGAGCGTTTTGTTTTAAAAAATGTTAGACCCATCTGTTGAGTAAGTGACCCTTAATCCAACACTGCTTATACTGTGCACCGAATCATTTCATGCAAGTGTTTCACCAGAGTCAATTGTGCCAGATCCTCAGCACCACACTGTCAATCCAGATGGATCCAGAGATCAAAAACCACTTATACTCGTGCTAGATCACTTCAAGCAAGTGGTACACCAGCCAATAGTGCCAAATCCTTAGAACTGGACTTGCATGATTCAGACTGTGGGGATGTTAATGCCATGTACAAAGGGGGTACCCGATGACTTCATCAAGTACTTCACCACATTCTATCCTGCCAGATCCTAGGCAATTGACTTGGTTGACCTAGAGGGATCTGGGGACCTTAGTGCCTCTTACAGTGGGCACCAAACCACTTCTGATTCACTGGAATTGATGGTGCCAGAACCCTGGCAGCATGTCAACAGTTCCAGGACCTCCGCAATGACCTGGGTCTACCTACAGGGATTTCGGGATCTCAGCAACATGCTGGTTGTGCCAGAACCGTTGTGCTGGATTAGGTCTACCCAGTCACACCCTGGGGCTTTGGTGTCCTATCAGCAGTGCTGGAATTTCACTGCTGCATTAGGTTGACCTGGACAGATCCAGGGACCCCGTTGCTGTATCTACTGTGCTGGAATCTCAGTACCGGGCTTTGTCAGCCAGGTTAAGACCATGGACCTGAATGCTGCATGAGCTGGAAATAGAATCACTTGCCTAGCAAATCTCTAAAGTCAATGATGGACTTACATATTGCCAGACTTAGTTTCTGGGACTTGAAGAGCTTCCCCATCAGCAGGGTTTGGCAGCCCTCCTGCTCCATGTGTGTCCAGCTGACACACATGACAAATGGTTATAATTTCTTTTTTGTTCTTAAATTAAGAAACCTGTGTTAATTAACTGAGAATCTAACTAACTAAAATAAAAATAGCCCCGAGAAGGCAGAAGAAAAGGAAGGAAGGAATTGAGGACACCGTGTGTGAGATGAGCTCACTGAACCTTTGGAAGTTAAGAACGAACCCAGGAGCAGTTGGGAGCACTCCTCCAATAACCTGAGAATTGCCCACAGAGGAGGGAGAGGGAGTGGTAAGTGACCTCAATGCACACCGCTCTCCGGAAGATTCTGTAACTTAACAATGGGAACTGCCAATCCCACAAATGGAAATAAGCAGAGGGAACTTGAGGCAAAAACAAAATTCATTCAGATTAAACTGTTGACACAGAATCAGTACTTAAGTTAACCACCTTGATTAATACTTCCTCAAACCCATCTGAAGAATGCACCTTGAAGTACATACTCTAAGAGGAAGCAAACATCAGTTTTAATCCTGACTCAAAAAGTATTTAAACTTTCAGTGAAGCCACAAAACCTGACCGCAAAAACTACAGATTGACAATTTGGCATCTCAAAGGAGAGGATGTTGAATCTTCTTTAATAGTTTGAATTGGATACACAGATGCTTCCAAAGGAATAAATCATGAAGATTCTGATCCCGAATGTCACAGTAATTAGTAATGTCTAAAATCTGTCATACTGGCTCCTGACAAACATTGGTCCATAATGAACGTAGTTCTTAGGGCTTGTCTACACTTACTGGGAACTGACGAGCAGCAATCGATGCATCAGCGGTCGATTTAGCAGGTCTAGTGAAGACCCACTAAGTCGACTGCCAATCGCTCTCCGGTCAACTCCTGTACTCAACCGGATCGAAACGAGTAAGGGGAGTCAACGGGAGAGCGTCTCCCATCGACATCGCGTAGTGTGGACCCCGCGGTAAGTAGATCTAAGCGATGTCATTTGAGTTACGTTATTCATGTAACTCAAATTGCGTAGCTTAGATCGACTTTTCCCTTTAGTGTAGACAAGGCCTTAGACTGCTCAAATTCATGAAAAAAAATTCTGCAATAATTTCTTCAAGTTAGTGTTCTAGAGTCCTTAAAATATCAAGAACAGGACTGAAAGATTCTTATTTTTAACAAATACAACAATCTGAATCAGAGGTAGCTAGAATTAGTGCATCTTTAAAATCAGATAACTAAAGCAACTGAACTCCTTTCCATTAAATTACGAGGATAGACAAGGACAAGAAAAATATTAATATGCAAACACTTTAGATGCATGTAACTTTATGGAAATTCAGCATAAGCAGCAAGACTAAGTTTTATCTTACTGCTCATTTTGCAAAAGCTGATGAAACCCCTTTCTACATTTGGAGCCTGATCCCGCACTGATGCAACTGAGTAACTTTATTCACTAAATTCAACAGGATTTATGTGACCAAAGTTACATGTTTGTTTGTTTGCAAATTGGGCACTTTCAGTTGTGCATCATAAAAGGATAAGAACTGAAAGCCAAAGGGTAATTTCCACTTCCTGCAACAAGTTTTTGCAAGCCAAATATCACTCATGTGATAAGCAGCTGCTCATACTCACAAGGAGAGTGTGAAGAAGCAGCTTGAAGGTTAGTAGAAACCATTTGAAAAATACTATAAACACATGCCATAAAATAGCCTCTAATATTAATTTATCACTCAATTCTGCAAACACTTACATACAAGTAACTATGCTCAAGTGATTAGTCCTGTTGGACTCTTAATCCCACTTTCCTTGGTCCTGTTTAGTGAACTGGCTGGGGCAGGACTCCAAGCCTCTACACCAATTTTTAAGGAAATGTTTTGTTGGGGGAATGGTTGGTGTATGTAGAAGAGTGACAAGAAAGGAGTTTGAATTTTTCTTTGTGTGTTAGAGAGCTTTCTCCTTTAACCCTCTCTAAGAAAAATGGGAAGATGGAAGTCATCTGGAAATCCATAGAAAGTTGGTTTGTGTAGGCTGATGCCAGCAAGCAGTTACTGAAGAGAAAATTAGCACTATTACTAAACATGCGCCTAAATAAGATTTTTTTTCTCTCTGTATCCTTAATTAAAGAGCTACAGGAACTAAGCCTAAAGGCACCATGTCTGGTAGTCATACAAACATTTGAGAATAGCAGCTGCAATATTTCTTCCCCTCCCTTCTCCCTCTCTGCTCCTTCCAAAATATAAAGCCCACAAGAGTATGACTTTACTTGAGTATCAGTATCTGCAGTAGCACCTGGCCACACCATCAGATGGGGATAGGACCAGGGATACCAAGGCTCCAAAACATCAATACCACTGCCAAAAATAAAGAACAGAAGTAATAGCATCCCCCAGCTACCCAGCTTTGACCATATAGCAGCTGACTCAACAGGATGCCATAGCCATGTGCCCTGGGGCTTGGGTTGGGCTTGACTCCAGGGATGTAGTAATGTTCCAACACCAAGTACCTCCTCATGTGACTTCTCCAACAGAGACACATTGATGCCTTCGGAGGCAAACTCCCGCAGCGGCGGCAGCTGGGTAAGCGCTGTTGGCAAAGAATACATAACATTCTGATGCTATTTAGGCTGTTTATTTCATTTCCTTGTCTAATGCCTTTTCCCCTGCCTATGTTTAACAGCTGCCTATGTTTTTAAAAAAACAGGATGCTTACTGCTTTATGTTCACCTGTTGTACGATTCAGAATTCCACCTGATGGCATAGAACTGCAGGAGGGGGAGTACCCTGTGTAAACATTATTTTGATTACAGAAAATCTATTCACACACTTATCTTGGTCAGGCTCATGAAAAGAAAGGACAAACAAGACTAATTCTTCATATAGTTTGGTCACTCTATTTACATGTTGATATGTATTGGTCACCAATGTAGAAATTTCCCAACATCTTTTTTTGAGCACATTGATCCAAAGAGACAACGTTTTCCTGTGTAGTACTGAGGGCCCTCAGCTCTCAGTTAAATCAACAGGAGACGAGGACCTTCTGCACATCTCAGGATCGGACCTTGTATCTTTTATCCTAGCCTCACTAAAATTAAGATCACTGCCGAAAATTCAAGATTATCTGCTTGATAGTCAGTTTTATTAACTTGACAGCAATAAAGATGATGGTCAGGGCAGGATCTAAAATGCATCATTTACAAAGCCTACTGTCACAGGCTCATCAGATTTTATATGCTGATAATAAATCCAGACTAGAGAAGAATATTAACAATTAGCATTTGTGAATAAACTAAAATTCAGCATTAATTAAAGTACTTTACATTAGAACACGAAGTTGTCTTCTGTCATCCATAACCATATATTTTAAAGGATATATTTTTTAAACATATATTTTTGTTTAAATTCAAAAAATAAGTTAAATAATAGTTAATATTTATTATTCTGTGAGCTCACACCTTGTTTATGAGGGTTCACTTTAGGAGCAGCAATGAACTTAACTCTCCACATTCATACAACAGAAGTCTTGACATTGGTTTGGATAAAAAACGTACCACTTCATCTTCAAATCCTCCGGCCAGCACAAGTGAATAAGCTCCATCATTACTGCGTCCATGGATTCCGCCAACATGGGGTCTGTGAACGCCTGCTTCACTCACCTTTGGTAATAAAATAAATAGAGGACATCTTTAAGATAACTTCCTAAAGCAACTGGCCAACAATATTCATTTTTAATAATTCATTTATTGTTTAATGAAGTATAATTCTATGTGAAGAGGCAGTCTGCATAAAAGGTTAATACGAAACTGCCTGAGGAAGAGAGGATTTTATGTACTTTTAGGAGGAACAAAGTCACAAAGGCAGTCTAGGGCCCAATTCACTGAGCAGTGAGTAGAGGTGGCTGAGTGAGAGGGGCTGAATCACCCATTCCAGGGCTACATGAGGCCCAGCTTTAAAAAGCATGCAGGCTCCCAATGACTGGTAAGACACGTGGCTGGTGAGACTAGGGGTGATGAGACTACAGGTGATGTGGCTGGTAAGACTAAGGGAATTAGCTAATTGAGTTTGCCAGCAAAAGGACAGTAGGGAGATAAGGAAAGGAAAACCACAGAACCCTAACTTGCAGCTACTCTACAAGGAATAGCCCACAATGGGACAGAAATGGTGTGTCACCAACACTACTGCTAGTTAGCTCTAACTCTGCACGCACCTATGGGGGCCACTGCCAGATGGGCATCCTGACTCTGGGGAGGCTTCCACCCTGGCCCTGTCTTGACTTGCTCAGAACATGGCCTGGCAGGAGAACCCACTAGTGTGTTAGGGGTCTGTTGGGAGTCCCTCAGGAAACAGGTAGATGAGCAGCAGGAGGAAGTGGCTCATCTGGGTAGCATCTAGGAGCATGAGCACTTAATTGACAAGACACATTGAAACACCTGGGACTGAGAATACTAACCAACTTCAGATGACTACAGCAACACGAGAGGAGGAAGGAGAATTGGCAGCTCTATAGGGAGGAGACTGGTTGCCAGTCACCTCGGGCAGCAGACAGTGCTTCACCCCCCATCCAAGTCCCCCATCCATCATGGTCAAGAACCAGTATGCAGTACTGGCAATAGGAGGAACCATCTTCTCCCAATGTTGGGAGGCTCACATTCACCACACCCCAGAGAAAACAGCATAGGGTGCTGGTGGTCGGTGATTCCCTTTTGAGGGAGACAGACATCCATATGCCAATCTGATATAGAGTCCCAGAGATGTGCTGTCTGCATGGAGCCCATATCAGAGATGTCACAGAAAGGTTGCCAAGACTAATTCATCCCCCGACTCCTATCCCATGCTGCTCATCCACATGGGCACTAATAATGCTACCAGGTATGATCCTGAGCAGATAAGCAGTGAATACAGGACTCTGGGATTGAGGATGAAGGAGTCGGGGACACAGGTTGTGTTCTCATCCATCCACCCAGTTGAGAGTAAGGGCCTAAGTAGAGAAACATATCCTGGAGATGAATGCATGGCTGCATAGATGGCATCAATGGGAAGGCTCTGGCTACCTCACCCACAGGTTGCTGTTCTAGGAAGGAGTTCTGCTAGGAAGAGATGGGGTCCAACTGACCAATAAGGGGGAAAGGATCTTCATGTATCAACCTACTGAGGAGGGCTTTAAACTAAGTTCAAAGGTCGCAAGTGACAAAAGCCCACAGGTAAGCATAGGAAAAGCAACCCTAATGGACAGCTAGATATTGGGGTAGGGGGGACATGGAAATTACAATAGGATCACAGGAGCACGAGTGAGATCAGTGAGGGAATCTGCTCAACATCTTAGGATGTCGATACACAAATGCAAAGAGTATGGGGAATAAACAAGAACTGGAAGTATTTATACATAAGCTAAATTATGACATAATTGACATCACAAAGACTTTGTTGGGATAAATCTTGAATGTAATATTGGTACAGAGGGGTATAACTTGTTCAGGAAGAACAGGCAGAGGAAAAAAAGAGAAGTAGTGTTGCATTATATATTAAGAACATATACATTTATTCTGAGGTCCAAAAGGAGGAGAGAAACAGACTAGTTGAAAATCTCTGGGTAAAGATAAAATGGGCAAAAATAGGAGTGATGTCAAGATAAGGGGTTACTATAGACCACCAAATCAAGAAAAGGAGTTGGAGGCATTTCTAGAACAAACGACAGAAATATCCAAAACACAAGCCCTGGCAGTAATCCTAGACATTTGCTGGAAAAGTAACACGGCAAAACACAAACTTTCCAATAAGTTATTGGAATGTTTTGAGGAAAAACTTTTGTTTCAGAAAGTGTAGGAGGTAACCAGGAGGACAGCCATTTTAGACTTGATTTTGACCCAGATCCCTAAATGGCCCCCTCAAGGATTGAACTCACAACCCTGGGTTTAGCAGGCCAATGCTCAAACCACTGAACTATCCCTCCCCCGCTTTGACCAACAAAGAAGAATTGCTTGTGAATTTTAAAGGTGGAAGGCACTTTGGGTGACAGGGATCACGAAATGACAGATTTCATGGTTCTAAGGAAAGAAAGGAGCAAGTGCAGCAGAATAAGGACAATGGACTTAAAAACCCCCACACTTAACAAAATCAGAGAGGTCCCATAAAGAAAATCTAAGGGAAAAAGGAGTTCAAAAGCCGGCAATTCACAAACAGACAATATAAAGGCATAACAGCAAGCTATTCCAATGCAAAGGCAAGATAATAAGAGGCCAACATGGATTCAAGAGGAGCTCTTTAATCAAAAAGGAATCTTATAAAAAGCAGAAACATGAACAAAGTGCTACGTATCAGTGCAAAAGAATAACACAAGCACATAGGGACAAAAGCAGACAGCTTAACGCACAAAATGAGCTACAACTAGTAAGGGACATAAAAGGCAATAAGAGGAGATTCTATAAATTCATCTTTCTCTTGCTCTCAACGTAAGTGTAAGTTCTTTATGTAACAGGAAACAAGAGCCAAAAATGAATGACATCAAGAAAGCAGAGGTGCTTAATGCCCATTCCGCTTCAGTCTTCACTAGGAAGGTTAATGATGACCTAATCAACACTATTAACATTAGCAACAAGAGGAAAGGAACGCAAGCCAAAACAGGGAAAGACCAGGTTAAAGAATATTTAGATAGTTTAGATGTATTCTAGTCAGCAGGGCTTGACACAATTCATCCTAGAGTACTTAAGGAACTAGCTGAAGCAGGCTCGTAATCATTAGCAATTATCTTCAAGAACTCATGTAGGACAGGTGAGGTCTCATAATACTGGAGAAGGGAAAGCACAGTACCTATCTTTAAAAAGAGGAACAAAGCCAACTCAGGAAATTATAAACCAGTCAGTCTAACTCAGGTTCGGGCCCCGGTGAAAATTTTTTTTCGGGCCCCCCAGGAAGGGCAGACTGGCTAAACAGGGCCGATGAAGCTGGGGAAGCTGGGCCCCGGGCCCCCTTCCAGACCGCTGGGCCCCGGTAATTTGTACCAGCTTCCCCCACTTTCGTCGGCCCTGGTCTAACTTTGATACTTGGAAAGATACTGTAACAAATTATTAAACAATCAATTTTTCAGAGCACCTTGAAAATAATAGAGTGATAATAATCAGCATGGATGTGTCAAGAACAAATCATGGCAAACCAACCTAATTTACTTCTATGACAGAATTACTGGCCTAGTGGCTAGGGCAAAAGCAGTAGACATGATATACCTTGATTTTAGTAAGGCTTTGGCATAGTCTCATGTGACATTCTCAGAAGCTAACTAGGGAAATGTGGTCTAGATGAAATTACTATAAAATGGGTGCACAACTAGTTGAAAGACTATACTCAGAAAGTACTTATCAGTATTTGCTGTCAAACTGGGAAGATGTATCTAGTGGATCCAGCACAGGTCATTCCGGGGTCTTCTACTATTCAATATTTTCAGTAATGACTTGGATAATGGAATAGAGACTATACTTATAAAAATCTATGGATGACACCAAGCTGGGAGGGGTTTCAAACACTTTGGAGGACAGGATTACAATTCAAAATAACCTTGACAAATTAAAGAATTGGTCTGAAATTAACAAAATGAAATTTAATAAGGTCAAGTGCAAAGTACTAGTTTTAGAAAGGAAAAAAATCAAATGCATAACTACAAAATGACTAGGTGGTAGTACTACTGAAAAGGATCTGGGGGTTATGTATCACAAATGGAATATGAGTCAACGTGATGCAGTTGCAAAGAACACGAACATAATTTTGGAGTGTATTACAGGAGTTTCATATGTAAGACACAGGAGATAACTGGCCAACTCAGGACTTGGTGGTGATGCGGGACTTCAACTACCCAGACATCTGCTGGGAAAATAACACAGCAGGGCACAGATTATCTAACAAGTTCTTGGAATGTATTGGAGACAATTTTTTATTTCAGAAGGTGGAGAGAGCTACTGGGAGGGGAAGCTGTTCTAGATTTGATTTTGACAAAGAGGGAGGAACTGTTTGAGAATTTGAAAGTGGAAGGCAACTTGGGTGAAAGTGATCATGAAATGGTAGAGTTCATGATTCTAAGGAATGGTAGGAGGGAGAACAGTACAATAAAGACAATGGATTTCAAGAAGCCAGACTTTAGCAAACTCAGGGAGTGGGTAGGTAAAATCCCATGGGAAGCAAGTCTAAGGGGAAAAACAACTGAAGACAGTTGGCAGTTTTTCAAAGAGACATTAAGGGCACAAGAGCAAACTATCCCACTGCGTAGGAAAGATAGGAAGTATGGCAAGAAACCACCCTGGCTTAACCAGGAGATCTTCAATGAGCTAAAACTCAAAAAAGAGTCCTACAAAAAGTAGAAACTCGGCCAAATTACAAAGGATGAATATAAACAAATAACACAAGTATGCTAGGACAAAATTAGAAAAGCCAAGGCACAAAATGAGATCAAACTAGCTAGGGACATAAAAGGAAACAAGAAAAATATTCTACAAATACATTAGAAGCAAGAGGAAGACCGAGGACAGAGTAGGCCCGTTACTCAATGAGGGGGGAAAGACAATAACAGAAAATGTGGAAATGGCAGAGGTGCTTAATGACTTCTTTGTTTCAGGTTTTACCAAGAAGGTTGGTGGCGATTGGATGTCTAACATAGTTAATGCCAGTGAAA